ATGGAACGCACTGCATTTTGTTCCGTACTGTCTGGCATTAAATTATCTCTGATGTAGATATTTATTTTATTTTATATTTTTATAAGTGATTTTCCTTGATTGTAGATTTAAAATTACCCAATTCAATATACTGGGTGTTTTTCAAGCTCATGTCATTCATTCAGAAGGTTGTTCCTTGAATTACACAGCAACACAAAAAAAAAGTTGTCTGTATTTTTCATGCGACATATGTTATCTGTAGTATTTTTGCCTCCTGATTACGAATCCGCTGTCAGAATTGGGCTATCACATCACAGGAATTTCCTAACCTCAAAAAACAAGTCAAAAATAGCAAACATTCACGAAAAAGTGCTAGGAAAAATAGAATTTTTTTTTCTATACTAAAATGTTCATTTTATGGTTAAGACCCCGCCGAACGTGAATCCGCGGTCAAAATTGACTGTTCTTTTTCTAACCTCAAAAAAACAGGTTAATTATTGTCAGATATCATGAATTTTCAAAAAATAACAGATTCGCGGCAAATTTCGTACAAGGGGATTTTAGGGGTCGCTGATCACGGATCCGAGGTCAATTTTGCAAAATTCAAGATGGCGGATCAAAGATGGTCAAACAAATGTTCAAAAAATAACATTCGTGCCAAATTTGGTGTACGGAGGTTTCGGGGTCGCTGATCACGGATCCGATGTCAACTTTGCAAAATTCAAGATTGCGGATCCAAGGTGGACGACCAAATTTTAAAAAAATAACACATTCGCGTCAAATTTGTTATACGGGGCTTTTCGGGGTCGCTGATTACGAATTCGAGGTCAGAATTGTAAAATTCATTTTATAATATTTTTGTTTACTTTATAACCTGAGTACCAAACCATGTTTTAACTTTCTTAAAGTACAAAGGTAACTGATTAAATTTTTAAAAACGAATTTTGTAAATCTGATCTCGGATTTGTGATCAGTGACCCCGAAAACCCCCGTATACCAAATTTGGAGCGAATCTGTTATTTTTTGAAAATCCGTGATGACCCGTTTTTTTAGGTTAGAAAAAGAACCATCAATTCCGACCGCGGATTCACGTTCGGAGGGGTCTTAACCATATAAATGAACAATTGAATATAGAAAAAAAATTTCTACTTTTCCTAGCACTTTTTCGTGATTTTTTGCTATTTTTGACATGTTTTTTGAGGTTAGGAAATTTCTGTGATGTGATAGCTGATCTGACAAAAAGTCTTAACGTTTTGAGGTCTAAAATTACTAATTTTGAATATGCCATTGCATGGATTCTTAAAGTAAGCAGCTAAATCCTATTAATGATAGTGTTTTGAACTAATATATTTGTGGGAAACAACTACAGAAAAGAAGATTACTGCCTACTAAACAATACACTAGCAATATCTAGACTACCAACGGATGATCTAGGTATACTCCGCGGTAGAAATTATAGAAAGTGAATCTTCGCTAGCTCTTGGACTAGTAAGGAGGATGAGGTGTGCAGGGATCGAAAATCCATAGGCGTGTATACGTAAAAGGCAACAAAATGTAGAAGATATGGAAAAAATATAATAAAACATAAGATCTATTATTTTTAGAGGTTTTATCGAGAAAACTTCAAAAATATTTTAGTAACATTTTGTTTTTAAATTTTAAGTGTTTTCTATAAAACGATGCCCTCTTGGGCACCGATAACCCACCACCACCCAGCTTACGTCGCCGCAAAATATTGTAATGTTTTCTATTAATATATTTATTTAAGTAGGTACTTACATATTTTATAATAATTATCTCACGAATATTATCACTGTCACACTTTCACTTCACTGCCACATAATCACTTCACTATTAATATATTTAAATACTTACATATCACATTATTCACATTATATATTTCACATATCACTGTTGCTATCACTATCACTAGAACCAGTCATTATTCATTTGGGTGAAGATGATTCTAGTGATAGTGATAGCAACAGTGATATGTGAAATATATAATGTGAATAATGTGATATGTAAGTATTTAAATATATTAATAGTGAAGTGATTATGTGGCAGTGAAGTGAAAGTGTGACAGTGATAATATTCGTGAGATAATTATTATAAAATATGTAAGTACCTACTTAAATAAATATATTAATAGTAAACATTACAATATTTTGCGGCGGCGTAAGCCGGGTGGTGGTGGGTTATCGATGCCCAAGAGGGCATCGTTTTATAGAAAACACTTAAAATTTAAAAACAAAATGTTACTAAAATATTTTTGAAGTTTTCTCGATAAAACNTCTTTAAATAGTGTTTTCCGCAAAGACAAATAATTTCAAACATTTAATAACTGAATAATCTAAAGTTTATCAAATAATAGGAATGTTATGTCATGCCACCTGAGTATTTTCAAAGACGCCGCAGTAAAACGAATAAACAGGTGCAAGAAACAATCAAACCATCAAGATTTTAGGTACTGAAATCTACGAAAATACTACCTTTTTTATATATAACTCCACATGTAAATATTCTTACATTTACTTCCTTAGTCCTACATATAAAATTGTTTACTTTTATTTATAAGTACGTGAAAATAATTCTTAAAATGTGGGGTTAGGATAAACAGAAAACGCATGTTTTACAAACGCTTTTTTTTGTTATTATTTTATTTGGGTAAATTTAAATGGTAACAATGAATAAATAAAACATCAAGGATTTTATTTTTGTGCTTACTTTTGTTCTACACGTTTTACTTTTCAAGATTTCAGTACCTAAATATGCCAGAAATTTCACCATTTCTCGGCCAGGGATATGGCCACCTTAATCGTGGACATTATTATCGGATTGGTCTCTTACAGATATTTTATAGCATGTTTTTTTTATATTATCAAATAAACTGCAGAAACCATTATAATAAATAATTATATAATGAACTTTTTTTATAAAAAAAAGATTGTCAGTTGTGCCCGGCTTGAGCGAATAGTGGCGATTTTTTGAAATACTAAGTCTTGTTTAATAAATAAACCAGTCATTTAAAAAATGTCCAAAATTACGAACATGCATATGTATATAGTTTTAAAAGCATATAAATTTGTATTCTGTTTTATTGTATTTGAGCCTGCAAAATATTAAATAGGTTATGCAGATACTTACGTTATTTATTTTAATATCTTATATGTATATAATCGGTTATAGTACAGAGCATGCCGTGACAATCTTTTCAATTTGAATGCAACCGCGCCTAATTATGGAACATGCGCAAAACACACGGAGTACGTCTCGCCCCCCCTTTTTGGAAACAAGGTCATCCATTGAAACTATAGGTAATGATCAGTATAGGATAGAAGTATGTGGATATAACCTACAACGTGTGTTATATCTTAATTGTTACTACTATTCAATGCCTACCTATTAATTAGTTTGAAACCGGTCTAGGTCTGATGATCGTCTAAGGAATGATCCCACCTAGATATTGAGGGTATAATTTCATACTGGATGGGACTTTAGTCCGCAAAATACTAGTTTCCCAGAATATTGTTAGTGAAAAACTTTATTTCGTCTAGTTTTAATAACCACGTACAAGTAAGTAAAAAAAAAATGGAATTTAATTACACCAGTACAAGATGGAACGAAAAGTAAGGCTTGTTCTAGCTAAAATAATTTGGAACTGATAAGAATTAATTGAACGTAATGGTCTAATAAATTAAATAAAGGTTGAGCGACAATCTGCATAATTTCATAACCGAAAACATATGTTACTTTATGGTCTCATGTAGTGCCAAAAATAAAAAGCTCTTATTCGTTTAAGCTATTAAAATATTTGCCACCTGTCAACTCTAAATTTTTTCAATTACATAAGGGGCATTACATATAAAAATATAACAAGTATTATGGTATTATCCAAATCAAATTTTTAAATATTGAAAAAAAATCGGAATATTTAGTTAATAATTAAGAAATTCAATAATAACAGGATTAGGTAGTATAAATAGTTTTCAAAATATGGTATTTTTAATAATTAGTCATCGCAATTTGCTTCTATAATAAAATTTGGTTTAACAGGGTACTTATATTCTCTGTAAAAATTAAAAAAAATAAATTCGAAAACAAAATAGAATAAAAAGATCCCACTCTAGAACCTGTCGCTTAAATTTGCAATTTTTCGATGAAAAAAAACACTTCAAAAATAATTTTTTAAAAGTCAAACCATTTCAAAAAACTAAAAATGTATTATTTTTATATGTACTTTTTTATTAAACTACATCTCAAAACGAACAAACTAAAAAAAAGTTTATGATATTTTTAGTTTTTGCCAAGTTACAGTTATTTGAAAATTGTTTACCCAAAATATTCAAATGTTTATAATTTCTTGATGGATTGAAATAAAGATTTGAAAAAATTCATGAAAGCTACTCTGAATACATACTAAACAATACCAAAATATCAGAAAATTAAAAAATTTAAAATAGGTATGTAATGAGGAAGACTTAAGGGGGAAACTTATCTATATTATCAGGTGATAGAACAATTTTTTTTTATTAATATGTTTCATATCGGAGTCTGTTTCTTTAATGAGGAATGGAGTGCTGAAATTAAAAAAAAATTCTATACTGTCAAAAAAGGAGTCATTCAATTTTGATATAATATAGTACGTACGATATTTGTTGAGGTAGAATTAGAATTTACCATATTCCACAGCGGAGGTAGAAAAACACTGGCAGAAAATTTCAAGGCACGCCCCTGCCGCGGTAATCGACACCCGAAGTGCAAAGACATTGGCGGAAAATTTCAAGGTACGGCACCTGCCATAGTAAATTATTACAGTAGTTCCGATAACAGAACTTTATTGGCTTATTCTTTTCTTGAAATTCTATCTCAACAAATATCATACGGACTTATAGGCTACCTAAGCTTTTAATATTCATAACTTAGAACATATACTTATCTAATTTAAATCTGCATTACATCTAGACATTTATTTTTACTGTACTAAATTATTGTAAAAAATATATTTTTTGTTATTTTAGGATCTGGAATTATTAAGTTTACTCTCTTCACCTATTACAATCATCCACTCTAGAAAATATGTTCTATATATTGGATATAAATAAATATAATCACGCATATAAACTGGAACGTGGTACATGTGTCATTGTACTCCATCATAATTATTCTTTGTATTTTTGTAATTGTTAAAGTATTTATTATAATTGATGTTAAAAAAATGTAAATAAAAATAGTTTTTTTAATAATGTATAGTAGACCTTTTTTTTACCTTCATTACTTACATCTATTACACTTTTCAAAATATCTACTCTTTAGCTTATACACTATTGAACAAAAGTAAAGCAACATTTATGTAAAAAGTACATTTTTCACTTTATAAGTTAATAACAAAAAATGAAGAAAATAACGTAATTTCAAGCGCTACATAGTAGGCTGCTGCCATTCAATTATTTGGTTTTGGGGTTGACAGTTCAGTTTTATTGTTATCATTTGTTTCATTTTATTGTCATAATTTATTATTTTCGATATTTGTTCTTCTTTAATGTTGAATCGTTAATCCTCGATATTAACAAAATGCCTAAAGGTATTGCCATCAGTACTGACTATTGTCCAAGTTTCAAGAAAGAGGACATTTAAATAATATACGGAAGTCGGGCAGACCTAGAAAAACATTAGTAAATGACGACAGATTGATTAAACGCATTTGTCGCGCGGATCGATGGAAGTACGGTCCCAGAATTATGGCGGATATTGGAAAAAACATCTGTGAGCGCACAGTTCGTAGAAGGTTAGTCGTGGGGAAGGCCGGCCAAGAAACCTTTAATTTCTGCAAGGAATAGACCTGCCAGGCTAGTGTTTGCCAGAGCTCTATTGACTTGGACTGGAAATGACTGGAAAAAGTATTATTTAGCGATGAAACACATTACAATATTTTCAGTTCTGATGGTATACATCGCGTAAGAAGAGAAATTCAATCCTGCTTATATAACACCAACTTTTAAGTATGGCGGTGGACGTAATTTTATGGGGATGTTTCTCCTTAAACGGAATATGTCCTATCCATTTTACTGATGGAATTATGGATCGTTCTGTGCATATAGATATCCTTCAGAACGTTATGATGCCATATGCATAACGGGAAAGATTGATTTCGTGGCAATAATGCACGAGTTTTGGATTGGCCATCACATTCACCTGACTTAAATCTCATTGAGAACTTGTGGGAAGAAGTAGAAAGGAAAATAAGAACAGAAACATTCAGAAACAAAGAAGCTTTACGGAATAAAATAATTGAAATTTGACAAAGTATACCAGAGCTACACGACATGTATCATTTTAGTATTAAAAAACAATCAACTATAATTAATAGACCAGCTGCAGCTGTTAGCATATAGTTGTATTAGTTGGAGGAACGAATTGCAGAATGTTCAACATTTTGTTGTTAGTCGGGCCATATAGTCCAATTGAATGGGCCTTTAAATCGCAATTTTGGTCAACTAGCATAGAACAAGTGACAGTTTTATTTTCAACTCCCGGGCAGGGGTGAAAAAAGATAAAATAAAGGGATTTTTCAAGGTAACTCCAAATTGGTAAAAGCTTGAAAAAAAGTTTCTTATAAAAGTTGTAGAACATAAAATCCTACATGAAAATGGTTAATTGACTTATTATTGTACTATTAAAATTAACGGAGTGAGGGAGACTGGAAGTTTAGGGATGATTTCAGAAATTTAAAAAATCATAAAAAGCAGAAAAATTAATGAATTTTATGTTTTATTCAGTCTACTTTAAAAAATGTAAACTATATTTTCAGAGGAATATAAATAATATAATAATAATAGAAATATAATAATTTTTTAATTTTTAATAAAAAGATAACAATTTCACAATTTTTTTATCTTTATCGCAAAACAAAATTTCGAAAGCAACTTGTTATTATTTTAAATAATTAATCGAATGGCATAGAAAAAATTTGTTTTAGTGTTAAATCATAAAAATTAACTTTTAAAAAATTGAAATAGTTATAACTTTTTTAATTAAAAATTAAAAAATATATCTATTTCTCTGAAAAGAAAGTTTACATTTTTTAGAGTAGATTGAAATTATAAAATTCATTCATTTTTCTGCTTAAATTTTTTTAAATTTCTGAAATTATCTTTTAAATTCTAGCCACCATAACTGTTAATTTTAATAGTACAAGAAATAGACCATTTTTATGCTCTACAACTTCTATAAGAATTTTTTTTTCTAGCTCTTACTCCTTTAAGTTATCTTGGAAAAAAAGATAAAAAAGGTTTTTTTATCTTTTTTCACCCTTGGCCGGGGGTTGAATAAAAAAATACTGTCACTATTGTTATTATATACCTCCAACTAACTTATATCAAAAATTCAGTCTAGTTGACCAAATTGCGATTTAAAGGACCATTTAATTGGACTAATATGAAACTGTACCTTTTCCCACTCTCCCCTACTTAGGAAACAGACTGTATCTTACTGTGGTGTTAGAAAAGTACGAATTTTCTAACGCTGAATTAAGGAAAATACCTATAGACAAAAATACAAACATTTGGACTTTCGAAGAATACTTGTGACATAACTAATAAATTGACGGTACGATCTAACGAACGATCGGTTGGAGATAGCTGCACTCCTAGAGGTATACATATAGTTAGGAAAACTTCTGAGCAAGATTTTGAAGGATTTGATATGGAAGGTAAGTAGATATTATAAAATGATAGCATACATACATTACAGGGTGATTAATTAATAATGGAACAGAGTTTAATGTGTTTAATTGCAGGTTGCTGACTTCAAAATAGAATGAGTAAGCCAAATATGTCTTATCCGAATGTTGCTCCTTTTCGATCTATAGAGTGTTAAAGTTGAAAATTTATTTTCGATTTTTTGAAATATTTCGAGCGTCTTTGAACTGATTGTTTTGAAAGTTTGTATGCCTATGTTTTCTAAGCTGGTGATTACGAAAATGATAACTATCGTAGTTTATAAGGTTTATGAATCTAAGCAACTTATAGATACTAGAGTCTAGTCACTAGACAGTTTAGTTCTTCGTTTGTGATTTTGTTTATTAAAATGCCGCATCATAATGATTTTTCGTTTGTTGAAATGAGGAACATGGTATGTGTGTATGCCCAAGAAAATTATTGTGGTAGCGAGGTACCTACTTCGAGTTATATTCAAATAACAGACAACCTAACCACAAGCTTTTCAAGAAAATAACAATTTCAAGATGTTGTACGACAGGTTAGGAGAAACGGGGTCATTTTGCCCTAAACGAGACGTTGGAATGCTTAGAGTCTAGAGCATTAACGGCGGAGCAGGAAGAGAATGTTTTGGTGCGAATTACCGAAAACGCGCTAACAAGCACACGTCAGTTACTGGTTAAGTCAGGCTTCCGTCTTCAGAATATTACATAAAGAAAAATTGTATCTCAACAGTTGATGCCACAAGATCCTCCTGGTAGAATTCGTTTCGTACGATTTCTTCATCAGCAACAAACTGGTGACCCTACATTTTATAATGGAATATTATTTACGGACGAGGCTACATTTATCTGGCGCGGTGTATTTAATTGGAGAAACAGCCATTTCTGGGAACTGGAAAATCCTCACTTGCCAAGGAACATCATTTTTAGCATGAATTTAGTGTGGAATTCTTATATAATAACATTTTGGATCCATTTGTGTTACCACGTCCACTTAATGGGGAAAATTATTTAAATTTTTTCACGAATAACTTGTCACTCCTTGAAAATGTCCCCTTAAATTTTCGGCAAATCTGGTTTAAAAAGATGAGAACATCTGTGGGCAAAAATAGAAGAATCTGTTATCACTAACAGAAACCAAGAAAGAACACTATTTAGTCAGACATAATTTTAACGAGAACGAGAGAATAGAAAGTGTATTGAAGTTAATGGTGGTCACTTTGAGAATATTTTGTAATTTGTAAATTAAATGTAAGCATAATAACCTGAAACAAATAATTTTCTGATTTAATTTCCACTAAAGCCCTAAAATTGTAAATTGTCTATTTCGAAAACGGTTAAGTTTTTCGATTATTAACATGTAAGTATACTTTTTTTATTTAGAATTGAACGTAGTTTAATAATTTCATATTGGAAATTCAGGTTTTTGAGGGACATAAAAGTTTGATATATTTTTACTCTGACGGAACATTATAGGTAGCGCTCCCTAGCACTTATTGAAAAATAGTTATCATTTTCGTAATTACTACCTCAGAAAACGTAGACATAGAAACTTTCAAGGCAATCGGTTCAAAGATGCTCGAAATATTTAAAAAAATTGAAACGAATTTTTGAACTTTAACACCGTGTAGGTCGAAAAGGAGCATGTTTCGTTTAATCGTGCTATTTTGAAGTCAGCAATCTAGTCTATGGTACCAAGGTACTAAAGTTAATCTTTTAATCTCGAGTTGTTGTTGATAACAAAAATTAATTGTTGATTAAAATTATTTGAATTTTATTAGAAAATATTTGTTTTTGGTAGAAGGATAAAAATAAATTTCATACCTGGGGCACTAAAAGAGACGCTTTTTTCCTTGAAATTAGTGACTAGAATATTGTACGTTTATTCTACTATTAACACTTTTAAGTTATGAAAAAGTTGAATTATTATAGGTACTTACGTTAATAAACTCCCATGCTTTTGGGTTACTGAGAGCTAATAAAAATTTAATTTCTAAACTGCTAATGTACCAATGAAATATACTAGCAATTAAATTTTAACATTAATTTAATATTTGAAATTTTTAATGTGATATCTTATTTTATGCTTAAAAGCTGACCGCAACTTATGTGTGCCACATAATTGTCATGTTGCCAAAAAGAGAACAATAAAAGCTCCGAAAAAAACCACGTATTTTCTTATTTCAGTATTTATATAGAAATGTTAATAGTTTTGTAGTACTAATTTTTAAAATTGCCGTTAAAATAAAAATTAATAAATATAATTATATTTATTGAAAATATGTAGCCATTTATTGTGACAAATTTAATAGATGGGTATCTACATTTATGTATATGGGTAGTCTCCATTATACAAGTATCATGTATAGCCTTCTATTTTTTCACTATTCTTTGAAGAAAAAAATTAGCAAACCAAAAAATGTTATTTAAATTTTTTTAATAGATACACGAAACAATTTAAATGCCTTATGAGAGTATTTTTCTTGCTGTACCTATTACCAATAAGTATTCATATTATTATAGATA